AGTGGCGACAGTGCGCAGATCGCAAGCCCCCCAGGGGGCGGCGAGGTCCCAAGGTGATCCGCGTGGGACCCACCTCCGCTGGGCCTCCCAGGAGCCCACGACAGTGGCGACAGTTCCGCAGATCGTAAGCCCCCCAGGGGGCGGCGAGGTCCCGAGGTGATCCGCGTGGGACCCACCTCCGCTGGGCCTCCCAGGAGCCCACGACAGTGGCGACAGTTCCGCAGATCGTAAGCCCCCCAGGGGGCGGCGAGGTCCCGAGGTGATCCGCGTGGGACCCACCTCCGCTGGGCCTCCCAGGAGCCCACGAAAGTGGCGACAGTTGCGCAGATCGCAGCCCCCAGGGGCGGCGAGGTCCCGAGGTGATCCGCGTGGGACCTCCGCTGGGCCTCCCAGGAGCCCACGAAAGTGGCGACAGTTGCGCAGATCGCAAGTGGCGAGGTCCCGGTGATCCGCGTGTGACCCACCTCCGCTGGGCCTCCCAGGAGCCCACGAAAGTGGCGACAGCTTGCGCAGATCGCAAGCCCCCCAGGGGGCGGCGAGGTCCCGAGGTGATACGCACGGGACCCACCTCCGCTGGGCCTCCCAGGAGCCCACGAAAGTGGCGACACTTGCGCAGATCGCAAGCTCCCCAGAGGGCGGCGAGGTCCCGAGGTGATCCGTGTGGGACCCACCTCCGCTGGGCCTCCCAGGAGCCCACGAAAGTGGCGACAGTCGCAAAGATCGCAAGCCCCCCAGGGGGCGGCGAGGTCCCAAGGTGATCCGCGTGGGACCCACCTCCGCTGGGCCTCCCAGGAGCCCACGACAGTGGCGACAGTTCCGCAGATCGTAAGCCCCCCAGGGGGCGGCGAGGTCCCGAGGTGATCCGCGTGGGACCCACCTCCGCTGGGCCTCCCAGGAGCCCACGACAGTGGCGCAGTTCCGCAGATCGTCCCCACCGAGGTCGCCAAGGTCCCACCCACGAAAGTGGCGACAGTTGCGCAGATCGCAAGCCCCCCAGGGGGCGGCGAGGTCCCGAGGTGATCCGCGTGGGACCCACCTCCGCTGGGCCTCCCAGGAGCCCACGAAAGTGGCGACAGTTGCGCAGATCGCAAGCCCCCCAGGGGACGGCGAGGTCCCGAGGTGATCCGCGTGGGACCCACCTCCGCTGGGCCTCCCAGGAGCCCACGAAAGTGGCGACGCTTGCGCAGATCGCAAGCCCCCCAGAGGGCGGCGAGGTCCCGAGGTGATCCGCGTGTGACCCACCTCCGCTGGGCCTCCCAGGAGCCCACGAAAGTGGCGACGCTTGCGCAGATCGCAAGCCCCCCAGAGGGCGGCGAGGTCCCGAGGTGATACGCACGGGACCCACCTCCGCTGGGCCTCCCAGGAGCCCACGAAAGTGGCGACACTTGCGCAGATCGCAAGCTCCCCAGAGGGCGGCGAGGTCCCGAGGTGATCCGTGTGGGACCCACCTCCGCTGGGCCTCCCAGGAGCCCACGAAAGTGGCGACAGTTGCGCAGATCGCAAGCCCCCCAGGGGACGGCGAGGTCCCGAGGTGATCCGCGTGGGACCCACCTCCACTGGGCCTCCCAGGAGCCCACGAAAGTGGCGACAGTTGCGCAGATCGCAAGCCCCCCAGAGGGCGGCGAGGTCCCGAGGTGATCCGCACGGGACCCACCTCCGATGGGCATCCCAGGAGCCCACGAAAGTGGCGACAGTTGCGCAGATCGCAAGCCCCCCAGAGGGCGGCGAGGTCCCGAGGTGATCCGCGTGGGACCCACCTCCGCTGGGCCTCCCAGGAGCCCGCGAAAGTGGCGACAGTTGCGCAGATCGCAGCCCGACGGCACGAGAGAAAAGGAGAGGGGAACACAGGAAACAGGAGAGGAGGAGGGGAGGAGGGGGGAGGAGGAGGAGGAGGACGGGGCGACCACACTGCTCAATTCAAAACGAGTACCCAACCATAGGAGGGTTGGGAAAAAAGCATTAGAACTCTGAATTACCTTCTTTTCGGAGCCGCTGGAACCCCTGGGCCTAGCCGTCTGGACATTCCTGGAGATCCTGAGGACACCCTGGGCCATTGCCGCCTCCGTCGGGGCGAACGAAAGGAGGGGATAAAGCGGGTTGGAAAATCAGCTCACGTGGCTGATTGTTTTGACGCTTCCCAAAGCTAGAGTCGGCCAGGTATCGAGGAGTTCTCTTTGGATGCAATTCTGGTGAAGGAGGAGGGCGCGAGAGGCAGACCGACGCACAGGAAAAGGAAGAGCCATGCATCGAGGGATCTTACCAGCGGCGGGGCCGAAAGAAGCTGTTTGCAGCAGTTATCGTACCCCCCCCCCCCGATCCCCCGCTTCCGTCCGACCCGACTCTGGCAGCCTGCTCGGCCTGGCCCCCCGGGGGCGGTCGAACGGCCAGAGGTGGCCTCGAAGGCGGCAGCGCACTCCTCGGCCACGCACGCCGCGCAGCCGTCGCTGGGGCCTCTCGGGGCCGCCGCGGGGACGGCCGACGGCGACGACGACGAGGACGACGACGACGACGACGACGACGACGACGACGACGACGACGACGACGACGACGACGACGACTCCCCCTCCTGCTCCTGCTCCTGCTCCTGCTCCTGGTCGTGCTCCTCCTCCTCCTCCTCCTCCTCCTCCTCCTCCTCCTCCTCCTCTTCCTCCTCCTCCTCCTCCTCTTCTTCTTAGTATTACTATTATACCGATTAGCATTATTAGCACTACGACTCTTATTATTGTAGTATTTGTATTATTGTTCTTGTTAATACTATTCGTATGGCTATTATTATTCATCGTTGTCCTCCTCCTCCTCCTCGCCCACGTCCTCCTCGTCCTCTTCCTCCCTCCCCCCTCCTCATCTTTCCTCCGCGCCTGCAACCGAAAAGGCGAGAACCTTACAACATTTAAAATCCTAGGGAAAATCCATGTGCGTTGGGCTTCTCCAAGCCCTCGGCCGTCTCGAGGCCCTCTTGGACCTTCTCGAGGCCATCTGAGGCAGCCTTGGAATGCTCTTGGGCGGTGAGCGCTCTCAAGCCGCAATGGAGCCCTCTTGGACCTCTCTTGAGCCGGATCGGGGGCACCTTGGCCGCGCTGCGGGGCCTCTTGGGCAATCTTTAGGGCGGGGGGGGGGCCGGGCCCAATCGTGCTTCGCCCCTCCCCGGGAATCCCTCTCTGGAGAGCGTCGTCCCCCCCAAGAGCGTCGTCACTCGTGTCTCGCTCGCTCCGTCATGTGAGCGTTTTCATTTTCGGCGCTTCGCCATGGGACGGAAGGGGAGGGTGAGGGGACGGGGTCTGGCTCCGGACCTCTGTTTCATGCCACTGTTTGCAGCAGTGCGTTCTATGGGGCAGGCTCCACCTGCCCGAAACAGGCGCCAAAAACAGCCAAGAGCTACTCCATGGGGGGGAGGAGGGGGGTACGAGGGCCCGCGCCGATCGGCAAAACAATGAATTAAAAACGATCACCTTTCCGTCATGCGTCTGTGCTGGAAGGAGAGCCGACCCCCCCCCCCTCATGGCCTAAAACATCCGAAAGTCGTCCCCCTCTGATGTTGCTCGCTGGCGCTCCCAGCGGCCCCTGCAGGCGGCTCCAAGGCAGCCAGAGGCTGTCTGTCCCAAAACGGGCTGCAAGACGCCCTGGGACCAACAGAACGGCTCAGAGAGCTCCCAGATGTTCCAAGATCTCCCTCGGGGTGCCCCAAGGGCCCCGCGAGGCCTCCACGAAGCGCACAAGAACCTCCAGCGAGGCCCGACGAGGCGAAATAGCTTGAAAACAGACGAAAAGCATGATCGTGGTGTCCGAGACGTTTCGACTTCAGTCAGATCGCCTCCGGAAAGCCTCAGAGCCCCGAGAAGCCTTCAAGACCGCCTAAAACAGCCCCGAGGAAGCCTCCGAGACAGCCCTAAGCCTTCCGAGAACTCCCCGAAACGCCCAAGAGGGCTCCAAGATGGCCCCCAGGACCCGCCTAGAGGTCCCCAGGAAGGTTCGACCTCGGGAGAGCCCCGTGGAACGATCGCGCCGAAGACGGCATCGAGTTCAACGCCCCCCCAAACAGGCCCCCGACACGCCCCCACGAGGGCCCAAGATGCCCCCAAGATGCCCCCCAAGAAACATCTAAGATGCCTTCTTCAAGGTGGAGGAGGATGGGAGGAGGGAGAAGAGGAGGGAAAGGAGGAAGCCGGAAGGATGAAGGAAGAGGAAGACAAGGCTGTGGACAAGGGGCCGGCGTTACCCGCGCCAGGCCAAGCAGAGCGCTGAACCAGAGGGGACTGAGCCTCCTTCCTCCTGCGCTGCTGCGTCGGCACAGTGACGAAGTTTGCCGCAGGCGGCTGGATCAGAGCGCTGGCCTGTGTGCTGCCCTGAGGGCTGCAGCCAAGGCGAATAGCCAGTGCGGTGCGCACTGCCTGTACCCATGGGGCTCCGAGCGCCCACGCCCACCTGGCAGGCCCGAGCGGGGCAGAGTCGCAGAACCGGAACGGATCGAAATCGGGTCGGGTCGCCCAGCGAGTCATCCCGAATCGAATCGAATTCGCATCGCCGCGCCCACCTCCGGCTGGCCCCAGCCGATGCTGGTGAATCGAACCGAATCGAATCGGAATCGGAATCGCCGCCCAAGTCGGCGAATCGAATCGCATCGAATCGAATCGAATCAGATGGAGGGCGGCCCTGACTGGGTCATTCGCCCACCAGAGCAACGCGCGCGCTTCGCGCGCTTATGCTCCAGCCAAGGCAAAGCTGGCGTCACATCAATCAGCGGACGGGCACGCACGCCATCACACCACGATCACCACGTGGGAACTACTGCGCTATCGTGGGCATACATATACATATCTAAAAAGCGTCTCGCCGCCTATTTGGCACATCCTTCACACGGATCATGCCCGCAGGGAGCTCAACCTACGGGGTCCCCTACCCATCTCGGCACAACCCTCACTAGGATCGTGCCCCACAGGAGGCTGCACCTACGGCCCCATTGCACAGCGACACCCCTCACTCGGATAGTGCTGACCCGCAGGTTTTTTTTTCAGAAGCGGAAGTCCTGAACCGAAACAGCAGCAGAAGTGGCGCTGGCCCAACGGCGCGAGTGCATTCGCTCCGTCCACTGGCCGAGGGCCAGGCACGAGGGGAGGAGGGGAGGACAGGAGAGTGCCCACCGGCGCTGGCTTCAGGCGCGGTCGCCGAACTGATAGCGCCTCAGGGGGCGCGGCCACGGACTTGCAAAATCTGGCCTGCGACCGCCCCAATTGGCGTCACCGCTCAATAAGTGGCGCTCACGGCTCTGAGTGCCTACGCATGTGGAGTAAATGAGGGCGGCGGCGATGCAACATGGGGCCCTCTCTGAGGTCCCGCTGAGCTCCTGACAAGCCCGCGAAGTGGAGCGCCCGCAGGGAGTGCCGACTCATGGCAGCCCGACGCCACCCCGCGCCTGCGACCCACCGGCGCCCTTCGGGCGGAGACGCAAGTGGCGAAGGAGGAAGAGCGAGCCTCATGCTTGGCGAAAACCATTCGCGAAGCTGGTCGGGGAGATGCCCTCGGTGCCGCCCAGGCCGCAGCGCAGCTACGCGAGGGTTGCTGACGCGACTGAGACAACCGAAGGGTCTTCGCTGCCCGCTTTCTCGTCGCCCACCAGAGCCAGATGCTTGGCGCATGAGCCTGTGGGAACGATTACGTCCTCATGATCATCTTCCCCCAGCAGCCCCCCGACAGCAAACCCCGCTCGACCCAAATGCTTCGCGTACACGCTCAAGTAACGGAGGCCGTTGTGCGTACGTCCACGAATGACTTTTAGCTCAACCTCGCCAGAGGCAATCCACCCCGGAGTCTCGACGTCGTGATGCGACACGCTGTAGCGATACCCTCCAGCCTGCTTTGCCTCTGCCCAAGACCCCGTAACGTTCAGCTCTTGGAAGCACAGATCCGCGCACTGCCCACCCAACCGGCGCGCATCGGCCTTCACGTGGAGCAAGGCGCTGTCAGGGCTCTTTCCACGAGGGATGCTTATCAGAACATGCTTGCCCTCCTTCATCCGGTCGAGCCGCTCGCCGTGAACGTTCTGCAGATGCGGGTCGCCGACGGCGGAGGCCCCAAGGGCCCCCCGCGCCCGCGCCGGGCGGCGCGAGGGCGAGTAGTCGGGCTCGGGCTCAGAGGCGGAGCCGCCTGGGCGGCAGGCTGGGCGTCGAAGCAGATGACCCTGCCGCCTGCCGTGACAGCGTAGCTGTCGTCGCCGTGCACGAAGCCGCCCGCTGTCATGTGATCCTTATTGCCCACCTCTGAAGCAAAGTCGCGCACCTCGATGGTGGAGAAATCGGCCAAGTTGAACCTCACCACCGCTATGTGGTAGGCGCCGCTGTCGTAGCCCATCACATACCCGAACGCACCGTCCGTGAAACCGTTGTAAAATCCTGTCAGGGCCGGATTCTGATCTGCTAGATTCAGCACTTGCACCGTACTGAAGTCGTCCAGCCTGAACCGCGGGACCTTACCAAAGTGGCCACTTCCGCCACTCCCCGAATGGTACGGCACAACGTACCCCCACGTACCGTCGGTGAATCCGCCGAAGAAGCCGGCGAGGCCAGCGTCGGTGTTCGTTGGGGAGCACTTCCACTGTAGTAAAATCTGCCACGCTGAATCGAAGCATTTTCCCATCATCCGCGTTATTAGTCATGGATTTGAGTAAATACCCCCAACCGCCAGCGAAGAACCCCATGTAGAAACCCTCAAGGCTCGGGTCGATCGCCTCTAAGTCGAGCACCTGCACCGTGCTCAAATCTGCCAGGCTGAACCGAGCCACTTTGCCAGAATAGATGGGGATCCGGCCAGCGGTGGTGGCAGGGTACCACGGCACCATGTAACCCCACGCGCCATCGGTAAACCCACCGCTGAACCCTTTCAGAGTGGCGTCGGTCTGCGCAAGGTCGAGGACTTGCACGGTGCTGAGGCTGAAATCTGACAAGCTGAATCTGACGACTTTGCCCATTCTGACGTCGTATGATATTGTCCACCCTGTGGTTGATGTTGGAACCAGGTACCCGTAGCCGCCATGAGCAAATCCTCCTTCAAAATACTGCAGATCGTTGTCGACTGTCCTCAGGTCCAGCGATTCCACCGTCGAGAAATCCGAGAGGTCCAACCGCACGAGCACGCCGCCCCACCCAGCGTTGCCTGAGAAGTAAGGCGTGAGGTACGCGTAATTGCCACTGGTGAACGCCCCTCTGAACTGACAGTCTGGAATTTGTCTGATGCTGGAAAAACAAAGCAGGTCTGCCAGTGTTTGTTGTTCAGGAAATTCAGAACATCGACGAGAAGGGCGCGCGAACCGCGTCAACGAGTAGGCCCTCCACCACGCCGGCCTGCACGACCAGGAGGCCAAGGCGCACGATGGCCATCTGCACGAAGGCCATGCGCACGTGCGTTCTCTGAGGGGAAAGGGCGCCCGCTGCCGCGAGGCAAGATTGTGTATGCGATGGCGTTGGAGTAGGCGTGAGTGCCGCTGATGACTTGAGCCAGAATGGTTACG